CTCCGCGGAGAAACCGCAATGGGTTCGGCATATAAGCGGAGAGAAAGAGACAAACAGGTAGGATGTAAAAATCTGAGCGAGAGGGTGAAAAGTCAAAGAAGAAAAGCGCCCGCCCAAGCATAGCAAAAATCTAAGCGTTAAATGGTGAAAATCCAAGTGGCGGACGGCGAAAATCTAAACGAGGGAGTGAACCTGTTGTACGGGGTCTCTAGGTTATATCGTGATACTTCCGACGGTAAAGTTCGCAGCGACTCGATGAACTCAACAACGATTTTATCTGATAGATACTGTCGACTAGACAGTTGACATTCTGCAGTTCATCACGACCTGGTTGCCTAGGCGAACACACATCGCAATAAATTGGCTCATGCCTTTTTTCCATGTCGTAATTGGTGAATTGAATAACCCAAAGACATAGAAGCGACGGTACGAGTGACCGCAAAGAACTGAGAATGCAAACGGGCTGAGAAGAAAAAAATAATAATTACAGGGCAACCCGAAACCCGAACTGTTATCCGAGGCGAAGCTGTTATTGGCGGAAACCAAAAACCCGAACTGCTATACAAGGCTAGGCTGTTATGCAAGGCAAGGCTGATACGCAAGGCAAGCTGTTATACAAGGCAAGGCTGATACGCAAGGCTAGGCTGTTATACAAGGCAAGGCTGATACGCAAGGCTAGGCTGTTATACAAGGCAAGGCTGATACGCAAGGCTAGGCTGTTATACAAGGCAAGGCTGATACGCAAGGCTAGGCTGTTATACAAGGCAAGGCTGATACGCAAGGCAAGCTGTTATACAAGGCAAGGCTGATACGCAAGGCTAGGCTGTTATACAAGGCAAGGCTGATACGCAAGGCTAGGCTGTTATACAAGGCAAGGCTGATACGCAAGGCTAGGCTGTTATACAAGGCAAGGCTGATACGCAAGGCTAGGCTGTTATACAAGGCAAGGCTGATACGCAAGGCAAGCTGTTATACAAGGCAAGGCTGATACGCAAGGCTAGGCTGTTATACAAGGCAAGGCTGATACGCAAGGCTAGGCTGTTATGCAAGGCTCCGCGGGGCGAAGCTTCTTTAGAAAAGAGACACTTTCTTTGGAAATATGGATTTTACCGAGCAAAACATGGTAAGGTGGAAGGCATTAGGTGCCGCAAGATACCTCCGGAGGTACCTCACGCTAAGGTCCGTAAGGTTCGTCAGATGGGGTTCCCGAATCGCCCTTGTGAAACCACCTCACGTTAGGAGGTGCACCTTGCAACTGATAAGCACAGGACCTATAAGGTAATGCACCTTAAGGTCTTTACCCTTAGGCCCCGATTTGCAGCCTTTGTGAAAGAGCCTAATCGCTATTAGGTGCAAAAATCGCCTAGCGCCTAACGATTTTCGCGCCTACCGAGGCTTGTGGGATGGGCCCCAGAGCATAGATATAATGATTAGCTGTTATCATAACAGTGTTATATACTGGGACCTATTTCACAAGAAACGCTCCTTAAGGTGCACCTTGGTTTTACGAGCAAGGAGCCTTACACCTTACGCGAGGTGCTTTCACTACAGTTGCACCTTATGCTCCTAAATTTAAGGTCCACCTCGTAAACCCCAATAAGGAGCACGAGGAGCACCTAGACAAACACCGATGCGCATGAAAGAGTCGACGCAGTGTTTCAATAAAGCTAAGAATATGGTTATGGCCATTGGATGAAACAAACTGGAATACTTTACCATCAAATCGCTTTACATGAGGAAGCCCTCCTTGCACCTTGTAGGGTAAGGAGCCTTACGGTGAGGAGCCTTATGCCACCTTACCTTACGCCAGCCCCCCCTAATCGTAAGGATGTGAAAGCGACTTGCCATGAAACCGTAAGGTACCTTACAATTTTCGCTCCTTATGATGGCTTGTGAAATAGGCCCCTGGAATGAAACTGTAACATTCGGAACCGTCACTAAAATGAGGGCGAATGAGAAGATCACCACCCAGAGCAGTGCAACTTCCTTAAGTCACGCAACTTTGCTCATATAACAATGCCACAGAGACAATTCCTAACCGATATTCCTTCCATTCCTCCTGATCATCATCAGCTAGTACTTATAGAGTTCTTAGAGTATTGGTTACTACTCAATTTATTAATCATTATTAAATGTTGGCTATAAGATATTCCCAGACATATTATTAAGTGTTGCCCACAATACATGATAATATGTTAAGTAGCGATCAGCATCATCAAATCATAGTTGTCGTACTAGTAGTACGGAGAAGTACAAGTAAGCGCTCGCCCGTGTGATCGATAAGTTAAGGTGGTGGTGATAATGGTGGTAGTAGTGGGCATTTTTCTCATTTGTTCTTTTCCTCCTCCTGCTTCGTCTTATCGTGTATGTTGAAAGTATCACGTGGTAATCTGAGTGGTGGTGGTTCATCATCTATGGCTGAACAATTATTCCCTGGGTATAAGGATAAGATATGGGCTATCATACCTGATGAATATAAACTTATTAAGATTAGGAATGATAATAATATATTCGAAAAAGGTATTAATAAACATAAAGCCTTTCAAGAAAGGTATATTACCTATAAGGATAATATAGAACAACGTTTTATACCATCACAAAAGTATAGGAAACCATCAATTGATTGGAGAAGACAACAGGCTAGAGGTACACTACATATTGGAAGATGGTAATAATAACAACAACAACAGTCAGGAGTAGTAGTAGTAGTATTGTAGGTATGAAGGGCCTAATGGTAGTGATTATCGTCCTAATAATACAGTTGATAGGATGAAGGAATTAATACCATTTACTGATAAGGAATGGTCATTAAGGCAAGGTCAACGTACTTGGGATGGTCTTAAGTTTGTTATCATATGTTGGGGAGGTAATAATAATAAT